AGATAGATAGATATGGACAGAGTGAGATAGATAGATAGATAGATAGATAGATAGATAGATATGGACAGAGTGAGATAGATAGATAGATAGATAGATAGATAGATAGATAGATAGATATAGACAGGTAGATATAGATAGATAGATAGATAGATAGATAGATAGATATGAACAGAGATAGATAGATAGATAGATAGATAGATAGATAGATAGATAGATAAACAATAATTTTTTCAAGAGAAATGAATAGGTACGAGTAGATCTACTGTGCACAATACACGGGGAAACTGTCAAGCGGAGAGCCTGGAGAGGACTCTGTGGAGGATATTAACTTAGCCTTAAAATCGAGAGGTTTACCCCAACTGTCGCCGCTCGGTGCTGTCCTCAGTGTCCACTTTCATATATAATGTCATTCTCAGTACGATTATGCTGTACCTCTTGTTTGAGATTTTCTAATTGCAAATACAAGAATTGAGACCCTAGAAATTTTGAAGCATTATTTCAAACTGATCAATAAACCCAGCTACCACAAAACGTTCTTGTAATGTTGCTGATACGTTGTGTTTTTGTCAGGGGATATGTAAGTTTGTGGCGACCTTACTGTATCGTTGCATTCAACTATTAATCCGATCTTAGGCCGACCGCTCTTCCTGAAAAAATTACACACTGGTCAAGTATAACATCTGAATATTTTTCTTCGCTTAATATTTATTTTTTACTAGTAATCACCCAATACAAGGCCCGAGATCCAATCAAGATAGATGCTTATTGTGTGGAGTTGTATTATCGTAAGAAAGGGCGAGAAGTGAAGTAATGAAAATTTCCAGAATTCTCGTCGGGAGCTTCTAAGTATACAGTTAAATTAGGCTTTAGAAGGAACCGGAAACCGAATCCAAAACAGGAAATAAGAAATAAACCACTACCCCGGTTCAATAAACCTGGGAGGATTTTGAACCGGATGATAGGCGACCCTATCTACTACTATGGAGAGAGAGAGAGAAAATAATAATAATCTCTATCTATAAAAGGCAGGGTGTGTGTGTGTGTGTGTGTGTGTGTGTGTGTGTGTGTGTGTGTGTGTGTGTGTAACGAATGCACGGCCGCAATTTTCGACGGATTTGCACCAAAATTTACATGCACATGCTCCAAGTTAGTGGGAAGGCCAACACCGACTTTGCATTTCCCAACTCTCATCGATAGTGGAAATAATAGATTTTTTCATGCTTCTACGGCAGTTTTCATGTAATCTGCAGCCATTTTCTACTGGCCAATAGATGGCTGCCACGAATAGGCAGGAATATTCTATTGGCCAGCGTGAAAGCCAACAGCTGACTGACACGAATGTTAACTAGCATGCTAGCATGCAAAAAAAATCGATAGCTGCATTCGTCACAAGTAGGAAAAATTTAAAATCTGCATGGCACTTTACTCCAATTGGCTCATTCGCTTACTTAAACTCAACGTTGATTCTGATTCCATGCTGCTAGTGACAGAATAAAATTTCAGAGTTCAGGCTGAGACGTCAGACGTACAGAGCTGAAGGACCTGGAAACCCAATCTAAAACAAGGGATAAACCTCTACTCCTGTTCAAAATATTTGGGAAGAGTATGAACCATATAAATTTTCTTTTCGTAACCTTGGCATATTTGCAAAGATTATTAAAATGAATAATCCAGAACCTATAATGGGAGCAAACCACATACATACTGCTAGAAAGTGAATTTAGCAGATATACAAAAAATAGAAAGGGGCATAAGACAAGGATGTGTCTTCTCGCCGGACTTATTCAATGAAACGATTCTGAGAGAATTAGAAGTCCTACCAGGATTCATTATTGGCGGCCGTAATCTTAAAAACATAAGATATGCAGGTGACACAGTGTTGATAGGCACAGTAAAGAAACTACAAAAACTCCTACAGAATGTAGTAAAGGAAACTTAGAAGAAAGGACTAAGCAAATTGGAGATACCAAAATCAAGCAAGTACAACTATTTAAATATCAGTAACAGTGGACGGAAAATGCGACACCGAAATCCAACGACGCATTGGGCTGGCGAAAGATGCTTTCCAAAAGCTAAGCAAAGTATTAAAAATAGGAAAACTTCGTTAGAAGCAAAGGAAAGAGTACTGAACTATTACGTAATGTCAGTCCGGTGCAGGGGTCACCAAAGTAGGGCTCACGGGTCGGATCCAGCCCCAGATATCAGTTCATCCGGCCCGCGACTTCAGTGTGCCACAAATGAAAAATATAATTATTTATATGAAATTATCAATAGATTGTAGTTAAACTTACTATGTAGAAAAAATTAAAATAAATATAAGTAAAATACCAAAATTTGGCCAATCTGATTTGTTTTGCATCTGACAGTAAAATAAGTTTTAGGAAAATTAGTGAAATAAAAAATTCGGCAATTTTTAATATCCGAGTCCTTTTTGTGTAACTACCAATAATGGAGTTTCTAAGAAAAGCGATTACGAGCCTACTGCAGCAATTATGTCTTAACTTGCATTGCTGCGTTTAAACCGGTTTGAAGAGTGCTTTATATAAAAAGGACTGACTTCAGCGAATTATGTCATATGATTTGCCTGAATTTATTATAAAATCTAAAGTATATAAAGTCAGCACATTATTTACATTATTCGGACTATTGTCCTCATCTTTGTCGCCATATTTATTACAATAGTCCGAATAATGTAAATAGTGTACATAATACCTCATCTCAGAAATATAGACAGATACTGAAGTCAGCACATGTAACGAGGTTGACTGATGAACATTTAAAAGCAATTCTCATGGTTGGATGCAGCAATACCAAAACAGATATTAATTATATCTTAAAAGGTAAATACCAGTTTTACAAATCTTACTAACCTTTTGTGCTGCTTTGTCTGTAAAATTTGAACATGCGCAGTAGGTATGATATAATTATTTTATTGCTATTGTCGCCTTCTTGGATAACTTTTTAGTAAATGAACATGTCTTATTTTTTGTGCATTCAGTGTATTGTAATGAAGAAAATGATTATCCGGTCCGCGCTCGTCATTTTTTCAGTTATCTGGCCCTCTGTGAAAAAAAAGTTTGGTAACTCCTGGTCCAGTGAATGCTGTACAATCTCCTCGCAGATGAAGAAAGGCCGCGAAGCAACAGAAATATAGTTCTACAGAAGGATGCTGAGAATATCATGGACTGAACATGTGAGCGAAGTTTTAGAGAAAATGAAAACAAAACGCACACTTACGCTTAACATCAGAAAGAAACATTTGAATTTTCTACGGTACATAATGAGGGCTTGGAAAATTTGACGGACATATTGAAGGACATATTGAAGGACATATTGAAGGCAGAAGGGACAGGGAAAAGAAGTACGTAAGCTACCCTATGAGTTTGTAAATGGTTGGCAGAACAGGGTTTAGGAGAGATAGCAAAATTATGAAATTTACTAAGAGCTGAAAAGGGCAGACACGATCGTCAACGTCCTACAGCAGTCCGAACAATGTAAATAGTAACAAAACCTTGTAGATTGTTTCTGCAATGTAACTGATTACAAAACCCTTTTTCAGACTCCCACCCCCACTTACCTTGTTCTAAATACATTGCCTTATAACGTTACTGTAACAGAAAATGGATTAAAAAAAATATTTCCAGTAAGAATCTGCAGTTATCATCTAAATTAGTGATTCTCAAGAAATGTTTTTCTTCTATCAGCAGGTTCTTACTGGAAATATTTTTTTATCCATTTTCTGTTACAGTAACGTTATAAGGCAATGTATTTACAACAAGGTAAGTGGCTGGAGTCTAAAAAAGGGTTTTGTAATCAGTTACATTGCAGAAACAATCTACAATCGTTCGGATGCTGTAGGACGTTGGAGATCGTCTCTGTCCTTGACATCGTTCGGACTACTGTCCTCATCTTTATTGCCATATTCACAACGTTTCGGCAGTTGTACGCCCCGACCCTCTTCAGGTGACATACGTTGAAATTTCGAACAGAGCCCTTTAGTTGATAGATTGTTCTAATTCTTTTGGGATATCTCAGTTTCAGTTACTTTCCTTTAGTAAGTAAACTCTCCAAATTTTAGTTTCCTCTGTTGAGGCCAGGAATAACTCTTTGGGTCAAGTCACTTTTTCGGATTACTCAATCAACGGTTTTATCCATTGGACTATGGGAATTAACTAAAGTTGTTACTTTCCTGGAAATAGATAGATAGATAGATAGATAGATAGATAGATAGATAGATAGATGGCAGCATGGCTCGGCGTTGCCCGTGCTTGATTCAAAAATCGTACGACTCATACAGCAATCGCTATCACTTGACTTAAAATATTTTTTCCCTTCCTTGCCTTTAAAGGAGTGCTGTTTGTCGTGCTGATGTTGCTACATGCCTTACTTCTTGCCTATCTCACACTGCGATTTTTTTCTAAGCTCTATACTAAACATTAAATCTGTTACGAAAAAAGAACTAAACAAAATCAACACAAAACGATAAGCTTTAAAAAAAGGACTCGTAACTGGAAAAAACAGAATGAAAAAAGAATGTTAACAACAAATACTTTTTCACACCCAACCCAGTTCTGCGGAATCAGAATCAACGTTGAGTTTAAGCAAGCGAATGAGCCAATTGGAGTAAAGTGCCATGCAGATTTAAATTTTTCCCACTTGTGACGAATACAGCTATCGATTTTTTTTTAATGCTAGCATGCTAGTTAATATTCGTGTCAGTCAGCTGTTGGTTCTCACGCTGGCCAATAGAATCTTCCTGCCTATTCGTGGCAGCCAACTTTAGGCTCCCACTCTGGCCAGTAGAAAATGGCCGCAAACTACATGAAAACTGCCGTAGAAGCATGAAAAAATCTATTATTTCCACTATCGATGGGAGTTGGGAAATGCAAAGTCGGTGTTGGCCTTCCCGCTAACTTGGAGCATGTGCATGTAAATTTTGGTGCAAATCCGTCGAAAATTGCGGCCGTGCATTTGTTACACACGCACATACATCCTGCCTTTTATAGATAGATAGATAGATAGATAGATAGATTGAGTGATAATAATTTTTTCAATAGAAATGAATAACTACGAGTATATCTACTGCGTACAATACACGGGGAAACGGTCAAGTGGAGAGACTGCACGGGACTCTGTGGAGGACCATTAACTTTGCCTTAAAATCGAGAGGGTTACCATAAATGTCGCCGCTCGTCTAATGGTGCAATCAAAACTGATTATAAAAAAAAAATATTTATGATATCCCCCAATAATAAAATCATCCACTATGATACGAATATCCTCATATGAAGCTAGTGTTAGGGGCCTTTCCTATCGACAGTGTAACCTGTGCAGTGTAACTATCAACACAATTACAAATGTTGTTGTTTTTTTGTGTGTGTGTTCTTTGTGATTAATTTAGGGTTCGTGTAAGAGATTCTGTCACGAATGAATCTTTTGAGATTGCCAAGTTTTTGGGGGCCATTTCAAAAGAAAGATTCATGTCAGTCTTAATTCCAGTCTCTTTAAGAAGAGTGAATAGGAAGCGTCGATGGGTTGGTACGGTCCACTGGCTACGCTGATGAATCAATAGCATTCTTTTTCTTTTCCCGTTGTCTCTCCTTGTGTCGTTCCGAAGATAAAGTATTCATCATAAAGTCGACGCCGAACAAACGACCAGTGAAAAGCAGATTTACAACACTGAACTGGTATGAGTCAGTGGAAAAAAATTCAAACAGGATCAAGTGACGGTCAAAAGAGAGGGAAAGAGAATTGGAAAGAAAAAAGAAAGAAAGAAAAAAGGAAAACGAAAGGGAAAAAAGAAAGTGAAATAAAGAGGAAGAAAGAAGAAAGAAAAAAAAGAAAAGCTAAAGGATTATTAGAGAGAGATTCTCCAAGTGGGCAAGTGAATACATAAAACTGTGTTTTTTTTTTTTTTTTGCATCGCCATGTTGGATGTTCTTAGAAGGAAGAAAAGAAAAAAGAAAAGCTAAAGAAAATAGAAAGCCAAAAAAGAAGAGGAAACAGAAAGAAAGAAAGAAAAAAAAAGAAAGAAGTAGAAAAATAAGAGAGAGAGAAAGAAAGTAAGAAACAGAGAAAAATATAATAAAAATAAGTGGAAAAAGAAAGAAAGAAAGAAAGAAAAGAAATATGACAGATAAAAAGAAAACAAAAGAAAAAGAACAGAAAGAAAGGAAGAAAAAGAAAAACGAACTAGAAATAGAAAACGAAGAAAAAAGAGGAAAAAGAAAGAAAGAAAAACAAAAAGGAACAAAATAATGAAGTAAAAGTGGAAAAAGAAAGAAAGAAAAAGAAAAACGAAAGAGAAAAAGAAAGCGAAAGAAAAAGAAGAAAAGAATGAAAGAAAGGGGAAATAAGAGATAGATAGATAGATAGATAGATAGATAGATAGAGAGAGAGAGAAAGAGAGAGAGAGAGAGAGAGAGAGAATGAAATACATCTAGAACGAAAGAAAAGAAAATCAGGATTGTTGAGTGAGAGGGCGATAAAGAAAGAGAGCAAAAGAAAACAGATAAGAAATTGAAATGAAGAAAGAAAATAAAGTAAAAGTCCCATAAAGTCAAAAGAATGGAAACAGTTATGGCGGCAAACAGAGAAGCTACAAAGAAGACGAAGAGTTATACAAAAAAAAAAAAAAAACCAAAAACTAAGAACATCCAACATGGCGATGCAAAAAAACCCAGTTTTCTATGTATTCGCTTGCCCAATTGAAGAATCTCTCTCTAATAATCCTATTATGATTGAGCTTGCCCCCACCTACGTTAGTTTGCCCGACTATTGCACCCTACCAATACCGCATGAATAATGGACTATTCCATTTTGATCGCATGGAAAAAGGAGAAAAGACACTACGTGGTTTCACAGAGAAAATTGAAAAAAGATATGAAGATAGAAAGCGGACACTGAGCATCAGATAAAACTGATAAGAACAGATACTACACTTTGATCTCGGTCAAAATGGCGCGAAGTGATTGTATTTTCTTTTTCTCGCAAGATGTGACACAAGGTCAGTTTAATGTGGGGAGCTTGGAATTCAAAAATAACCCCTCTCCACCTGTAGAACACGCTGACATCAGTATTACTACTGATCCCCCGTTTTAATGCAATTGGAGGCGTACTGTCTCGGGTCACCTACTGCGGGGAAAAAAATCTGCCTCGTCAGTTATGTATCGCCTAAGTGTGTATCACGCATGGCACATAACTGACTGACTTCCGCGTTTAACTGTTTCCCGGGACCAGGCACCTCTTAATAATATTTTAGGTTACGCTCTGTCCACAGACAGAGACACGCCCGAGTTTCACCCTGAATGTAGATAAAGACACAACTGAGAGATAATATGCAGTTTATCCACCCGAGAGCAGATACTACACTTTGATCCTAGCCAAAAGGCCAAGAAGCGATTTATTTACTTGAACTGAGTCAAGTTGTGACGCAAGTTCGGTTTTTAACGTGGGGACCCGAGTGTTTTCACTCGGGCCGCTGGTCCAAGCTGGTCTTAGCTGGTCATAGCTTGTCCAAGCTGGTCAGAGCTGGTCTAAGCTAGTCACAGATGGTCTTGGTTTGTCCTTGCTGATACAGACCCGAGCCGGTCCAAGCTCGTCGTAGCCATGATCGAATCTCAGTCAAAAGACCGAAAAGCGATGGCGACTCCGATAAAAATGCCATTTTCTAGATACTCAGTATCGAACGACGGAAACCGAATAAGCCAATCGTCAAAAATTTACCATAAATAAAATATCATCGTCTACTGAATTATATTAAAATTATTATAAAGAAAAGTGTTTGTAAGACGGGGGATTTGACTAGAAAGAAATTTTCACGGTTCGTTCTAGTATTAATAATTCAAAGAATACATTACGTTGGTTACATAACTACGATATTATCGCGCAGTTTAACGTATCATTTATTCGATTAAATCATATATAACCAGCCAACAAAAGCACAAATAACGAGTATATCAAATACATTGAAATGACTGCAAATACTAGAAGTATTTAAAAAGAAAAAACATAAAAAATAAAAACATAAAAAAATAAAAACAAGAAGTAAAAAACATAAAAAAATAAAAACAAAAAATAAAAACAAGAAGTAAAAAACATAAAAAGAATAAAAACATAAAAAAAAATAAAAACGTAAAAGAAATAAAAACAAGAAGTAAAAAACATAAAAAAATAAAAACATTAAAAAATAACAAAAAAAATAAAAACAAGAAATAAAAAACATAAAAAAATAAAAACATAAAAAAATAAAAAAACAAAAAATAAAAACATAAAAAAATAAAAACATAAAAAATAACATAAAAAATAAAAACAAGAAGTAAAAAACATAAAAAAAATAAAAACATAAAAAATAAAAACAAGAAGTAAAAAAACATAAAAAATAAAAACATAAAAAAATAAAAACATAAAAAAATAACATAAAAAAATAAACACAAGTAGTAAAAACCATAAAAAAATAAAAACATAAAAAAATAAAAACAAAAAAATAAAAAATCACCCAAATTCAATAAAAATGTTATGAAATTTAGGAACAAATATACTGAATGTATTCCCTAAATAAATAAAAACGATTTTCTAAACCCTTTTTAAATTTAATCTCTTACTTATTTTTTGTTTCAATGTTTGTTTTTAATAGGAGTAGATAGGTTCGCCTATCTCCCGGTTCACATTGAATAGATGTAGAGGCTTATCCCTTTCTTCTTGTTTAGGATTAGATTTTCGGTTCCTTCTAATGTTTACTCATTTTCTTTCACTCCCAGTAACCCCTTTGCGTTTTAGTGGCATTATCGCCTTGCTGGGGATGAAATCCTAAAACAATCAAAGACACGCTAACACTAACAGACACGGGAAAACACGAAATATTAAAATACCGACCCGACGTGCGAAACTGCAATATTTCAAGAGTGATGAAATGGATATAGTGTAAAATAAGAACTCTTTGAAAATGGCTTATGAAAACCGAAAGTACTCAAACATTGAACATTTTGTACTGTACATACTCGCGTATCATGCGACCTTTGAAGACCTAATTTTTAAGCTAACATGACTACAGTAAATGAATATATAGTTTGTCAACGGTGTAGCCAGGGCCAGCAGTACATAACGCTAATTTTATATCACGTGTATAATGCGACCATCTTAAAATTACCTTCAAAATTAAGTTTCAAAAGTCGCGTGTATATAAGGTATTTACATTTTTACCGGGAAAAACAGGAAAATGGTAAGAACTATAGAAAATACAGATAGAAAAAATTTGCTGGAGGTACTGAAAAGTTTTCACTCCGACCAAAAAAGGATTTTAAAAATTCTAATATTTGACCAGAATGACCAAACATTAGAATGTGTATTGAAATTCTTTCTTGGTTGAATGAGAACATTTCAGTAAACCCTCGTATTAGGTGTGCAAAAGTTCCCAACGAAAAAAAAAAAAAAAAACAAAAAAACAGTATAAACTCTTTTTACAGTGTATTCAGTTTCTGTTATGTAGTATCAGACCTCCTATATATGAATACCGAAAAATGCCTTCCAAAAGCTAAGCAAAGTATTAAGAAACAGAAAAATTTCATCAGAAACAAAGAGTACTGCACTGTTCGGTAATATCAGACCTCCTATCTGACAGTGAGTGCTGGACAATCTCTTCAAAGATGGAGAAGAGACTTGGCACAATAGAAATGTGGTTCTACAGAAGGATGCTGAGAATACCATGGACCGAACATATGAGTAACGACGAAAATTTAAAAACAATGACAACAAAAAGAACACTTATACATAACACCAGGAAGAAACAGTTGACATTTCTGGGGTACATAATGAGGAAAGACGGCTTGGAAAATCTGATACCCATAGAACAGGTTAAATGTAAGCGAGACAGGGGAAAGCAATATACAGCCTACTAGGCGAGCTTGAGTAAATTAGTGACAGAACAGTGTTTTGGATAGATGGCAACAAGACAAAAGTTATTAAGAACCACAACGACCAGGAAATTGTGGAGAGCCAATTGTGCCAATGTCCCGAAGAGACACGGCATATAGAAGACGTTTTTAACTTTTCAAAAATAAATGATCAAATAAGAAAAGGCTCTGGGCGTAAGAGATATATAGATAGATACTTACTAGACTATAGAACGGTCATATCTAACAATTTCAACTGTAAAATGATGAGACCTAACAGCCAATCTAGTACAACGCTTAAATTCATGGATTCTAGGTACCAAATAGGAAAGTGATATTTATATTTCGTTATTGACAAGAAATAGGGCACAAGGCCAAAAGAGGGATAGATTAAGTTGGTCTTCTGTCTTGTAAACTTAACTTGCCACAATTACTGATCCAAACATACCACAGTATTTCTTACATCAAAATAATACATTCTTATCTACCATACTTACTACAGTCACCATAATACCTCAAAGTCTCTATGAAGTCCTAATGAGTTCCCATATGTTCAATTTGTCTGTTAGGGAGGGGGGTTAATAAAAATAACAACTTTTAAAAATTAAAACCCAATGGAAAGTTAATCCGAACAATTAGCATGAAAGTATTTATAGAAAATCCACAGGGAAGCAATTTTACGGCGGTGGAAAAATGTTACTGAAACTTTTTCTGGATTTGGGGTAGTACTATCCTCCATCCCGCAGACCATTAAACAATATTTATTAAAGGTACAAAGAAAACAAAGTTAAAATTCATACAAAATGTTTCCTGAGAATAAACGTAATTCATTTAAGAAACTGAACCCTTGATTCTGTCTTCCTCTATATCTTTATAGAAATCCAGAGACGAATATGCAATGTGATAGGTCCTGATCTGGCATCTCGTCTACAGTCGCTTTCTCACAGACGGGCCGTCGCTTCCCTCTGTGTCTCCTATAAGTGTTTTCATGACAACTGTTCCGACGAGTTGCTTTCGCTGGTTCCCAGACTGCATGAATTTAAGCAAGCTACTAGGTGGTCATCTTGGTCCAATCCTTTCACTGTCAAAACGGTTAAATGTATTCGTCTCTTCTTCTCAAACAGCTTCTCTCTTACTTCCCGCCTGTGAAACTCCCTCTTGCTTGCTTCCCTGATAACTATAATCTTCAAATATTCAAGTGAAATGTCAATCGACATCTTCTGATACCTTGATTTTGTTCCCCTCTTTCTCTGTGTCCTTTCCTCAAACACGCCTCTTTACTCTTGTTCTCAATCCTCTGTAACCCCTTGCGTGCTAGTGGCACCCCCGCCTTGCTTGGGGTGAATTGCTTAAAAAAAGTTTCTTTCAACTCTTTTATTGCAATGGTTTACGTGTTCTTCAGTATCTCAGCAATAATTTAGTAAGAACAGGGGATGAATTAAAATAATCCGGTCGTATATAAAACCATTCATAAATCATGGCGCATTTAATTCCTTTTCATCTGTGTAAAATTATATTCGCCATCATCATTATTATTATTTTATTTCCT